CCGTACTGACATAAATGAACATTTGCACGATATTCTAATTTTTCGAGTTTCACCTGTAGAAGTTAAGACACTCTCCCATTGTCTAGGTAACATAGAAACCTCTAATTCTTTATTCCACTCATCTCTTAACATATGCATGTCAAATTTATTTATTGGTAAACAATATCTATAAAAGCTGATAGTAGTTTTTTTAGTTTTAAAAGATATTTAAGGCGTTATAACTTAAGGGTTTTGCACCAGCTGAAGAATATTACTTCGTTTGATAGCTATCTGCAATTTATTTATTTATTTTTTATTTAAGGGCAGTTTTGTTTTAATTATCTTTACTTTAAAAATCCCAAAATGTTAACCCTTACTTGAAGAAACTTGCAAAATAAAAGACCAATCTAAATGTTATGTGAAGATTGGGATGGTGTCTTACCATATTTTTATTTAATGGAAAGCTAATATAAGGATATACTGTTGGTTACATTGGTCTACTGGTATTAATTTTAATACCAATAAAGGGATTATCTTTATACAGTATAGTAACTGAAAATCATGCTTCATTTATACCATACCTTTTGTCCAGGAACTCATGGTGGCTAGCATGGGGAGTCAACCATTGAGTTTGCATAGCTGAGGGTAAACTTGAACATGGATCCTTCCAGTTATAGTCCAGCACCTTAAATACTAGAGCTCTCTGGCTTGCTATAGTTGCTGGTATACACTGCTCTGATTGTGCCTCTTGGTGTTTCCTGAAAACAAACACAGTTAACAAAGTAGGAATGACTGTAGTTTCTTTTAGAAATCCTTCAGAATCCTGGCTTCTTTATTAGCTTATTCTAAATGAAACAATAGAGGAAGGCAGCCATTTGCTTTAGCAAGTGTCCTTGACCAAACTGATCTCAAGCTTTCAAAACCATTTGAAATGAACACTGTTTCTTTATGGACATCATGCCAACAAGAACATGTGATAAATATAACATTTTAATATTCACTTCCTGAAATTCAGAATGTGATATTGTATAGTTTTTATTTAGTTTAAAAATGGTTTTTATCCAGACAAGGTGAGTTAAAATTAAGTTAAACTACTGAAATATTTTGAAAAGTTAGTAATTGGTCCTCTAAGTCTCAATTATTCAGTGCATCTAGAGCAACACATTTGCTCTTAATCCAGCCCAGTTGTGCAACTTCAGAGGTTTGGTTTATATGTCATTTAAGCAGGGGATACTTATGTAGAAAATATTGTGCACATTCTCTTTTTTAATTTTGGTAAATGTTAATAATACTTCCAAAACTTTATCACTGTTGAATTTTTGTGTAGCAGATAGTGTGTTCCGCTTATGTATGAATACTTAAGGCCATTGTTCATCCAATAATGAGCTTGAAATACACATTCGAAGTTCACGTCTATGTGCTATCAAAATAAATAATAAAGATTTTAGGTAGAATCTAAAAGTAAAGAATTTAAAAAGTTGTTCTATTACTAGGTTCTTGGGAATTCTCTTATATTTGTAAATACAAATCAGTGTGTTCTGTGTAGATGAAAGTGAAAGAGAAATGCCACATATTTTAAGTGGATGGGTTGTTTAAATAATTCAAGAATATAATTTTCATCTAAAAATAAATCCATACTGATTCGAGACAAAACTGCAGAGATTTAATTGTGAGCCGCCCAGAGTCACTCTCTGGGGGGAGATGGCGGCATATAAATTTAATAAATAAATAAATAGAATATCTGAATCTTAGAGAATCTAAAAAAGTAATACATTAATGGCATTTCTACTGTATTTTATTTCTTTCATGGTAGTGTATTTCAAATTTTTCTGTGCTCATGCTGCAGCTTTTCAGATAACTTAAATTTATATTTTAAAAGCAAAATACTTAATGGTATGATTCATTCAGTTTTAAAGCATATTTTTCCACAATACTCTCACTTCCTCCCCAAACCTATTTTGTTAGCAATTACAGTTGTCTTTTGCAAGGGCACTTCTTTACGTATTTAGCAGAAATACTGGAGTACCAAGGTTTAACTTTCCTTGATTGGATTGGATTGCTCCAAACTCTTTCTGAGTCTATAAAAATAGCTTGTTTACAACAGCATTAACTTAAACAAAATAAGTTTCACTGCACAGCTGCAAATACTCATTTACTTTTAACTGTTCTGAAAATGCCAATATAAAATATAAATATTTTATTAACATTATATTTTATATTTCATTTTTAATAAATTAGACTTGATTTATGTCTGTTTACCCAGAAGAGCATCATACTGAACTCAATAGGTTTTACTCCACTGTCGGTATACCTAAGATTGGACTTTTCACTAGATCTTTTTTTCCTTAAAGGTTAACTTCTACTACTTGCAATGAAATTTGCAGCTATGAAAAACTTTTCTGAATATATGTTGTTACAGATATTCACACATATTATAGTTATCATGCATTTACTCTGTTCAAGGACACAATTTCTCTGATCAAGGATATAGTTGGCATTTGCAGAAGTTTTCCAGTGAGGGTGGGAGATGGGGAGGAGATAAAACTGCAAAGTAGGATATGATTGCATTTTGTAAAGGGAGAATGTACTGCTACACTTCTCTTTTTCTTATACGTGTGCTTTATACATGTGCTTTGCTTAGTGTCATATCCTATGACAAAACACAATATTGCACTTTTAAGAATGCATTAGATGTCTTTTGGCAGACCACGTGGTTGAAAAATTTGACAGTATAATCTGATTTGTCATGAAAAAGGCTCCCTTATGTTCTATAATAATAATATGGGGTGCTGCTTTGTTCCCATTTGTCCATTTAGCTTGGTATTATCTGAATTGATTGGAAGCAGACCCTGGGATTCCTAACCCTAATTCAGGAGACAAGGGATTAAGCCTGGGACCTTTTAAATGCAAAGTAGAAGCTCTGTCCTTGAGCTACAGATAGATAGGAATCCAGATACTGTGGTTAAACTGGTCAAGATTTCATAGGCATGGTTCATA